AAAAATAATCACTTTGAGAGAACTTGAAGAAGGGTCACTTAGATCTCTTACAGAGTAGAAAGGATTTTGATGAAAGGGCTTCTTGAGGAAGGCAAAGAGGAAAATTCTGGACTCAGGAGAATCATTCTTCAGGTAAAAGAAGAAGAGATACAAAATATTCAGAATTCCAAGCCAAATTTCCTCACCTAGCTTTCACAACAATCCTGAAGTTCTCAAATTTATCAGAACTAATGAAGTTACTCTCTGGCTCGATGACGATGGAAAAGCTTGGCATTGCTGCAAATTGAGTAGAAAAAAGCTCACTTGGGGGTGTTTTATCCATGAAGCCCCAGGTGCTCAGCCACTGAAGAATCATGGTCATTTTAAGCATTCTGTTTTCTTGAAAACACTAAAAATGCAGGTTAACAGCATGGGCACATCTTACCATATTCCTTAACTTCAAATTTTGCCACAGCTGAGGTCACAAAATCCTTCTTGTACTTGGCTTTAATCTTCCAAAATCCATACCTATGATATATCAACAATCAATGAGTTTTTAAGATGAAAATTAATGATGAAGGCAAAAATTATTATTACTGCTTGATTCATGGTAATAATCCCTTAGAGAAGAAAATTCTGCACCAAATTTTTGCAGGTGTTCAATGCCTACTTGAGCAGATTGTCTTTGATACAACACTAATTATTTGACACTTATTTTAAAGCACTGAAATCAAACAGTAAATAAAATCAGTTATAAACCAGTTTTTCAAGCTCCTGCTATCATCCTTCTGCCATCTCAGCAATGCTTCAGCACCCTCTCAAGACGAAAAAGAGAACTGAAAAGATTTTTGTATGCTGCTGTTCCTGGGAAAATGCTGATGATTTGTATGAAACACATATGAAATACGAAATGCCCACATCTTTGTCACTCTTTATACCTCTACAGTAGTAAGATTTAATTGTCATTAATGTTCTTTTTTAATTGAATATGAAAAATCTACCACTCACTGTTCTTTAAGGAGAGTACTCTGCCACAAGGTCCTTATTTATATCATGAATCCACTCTCTCTGAAATGTTAGAAATCTCCAAGTTTCAAGCCATGCCCACCATGCAAAATCACTCTATCACAGTCACTATTAAAAGGCATTATAATGTCAATAATTCTCTAAAAAAAACCATTAAATAAGTCTACTTAGGATTAGGAGGAATCTTGAAGTCAGGAAAAGAAACAATTCCAGTAAAATCTTTTTCTTCCAAAATATCCACTTCTACTTCTTCAGGATCCTTGAAATGATAAGAGGAAAGGATGAGCAGTTAAAGATTGTTCTTATCAAAAGGGGAATCTCCATGCTGGGATTTCAGAGGCAGCCTGGCCATAACATATTTTTCTCAAAAGTTTCAAAGCATAAAAACACAAACATTTGTAGAAAAAACTCAGGCTGAAATTCTGATAATGGATTTTACTCCGGTTCCACCAAGTAAAAGCTATGCTTAAAATAGCTAAAAAAATATTGTAATAACAAGCCAATTGTTAAAGGCTAAAAAATATAGTAGATACTGATTATTTTTATATCTTTGATGAAACAAACAGTATAAAACCCATATATTATTGAAGTTCCCTCAAAAATCCTTTCCCCAGATATTAAAGATTTTTATTTTTTTTATATTCTGGGATAACTTCAGATCTGAGACTTGAAAACCTCTATCCAACCTTGCAAAGTCAATTTTAAATCTTTTAAAGGATGTCTAGCTACCTGCAGAAACATCTTAGAGTTTTATTAAACATTGATTGCAATACTGATTTCCCATCTACCTACCTACCTTTATTTGTTATTAGAGCTACAAAAAATTAATATTAAATTCAGTTATGACTCACCACAAAAGTTAGGACAGTTTCTCTCCGAGCTGGCTGCAGTTCTTCATTCAGAGAGTAAACTCTGACCTTCACTGTAAGAATTACAACAATAAATCTCAAAATCTAAACAATCAAAAAATTCACTGACATTTTTAACAAATTCCCAGGAATATATTTCACTCTTTGTTCCACAAATTAGTCATTTAGTATGAGGGGGGCAGGGAGAAGTGATTAACTTTTACAGTATGATCAAATACTTCTAAGTATTATTCTGATGATAAAAAAATTAAATATCCACTGATGGCAGTGCAAAACAACCAAAAGCTTAAAGAACACGTAAATCCTAATTCCTTAGCAGAGTCAGCAGCCTTTAAAAATTAAATACCAGCAAAGAGAACTAAGCATTATTTACCTGATTGGTCAGGAGTATAAACTGGTTTGTCTGTATGAATAAAAAGAAACCCATTCTCATAGGAAACAGGAATTTTTTTAAATCTTGTAAAATGTGGAGAAACAGCTTCCAAATACAAATACTTGTCTGAATTATCTGTTCTCGGTAAATCTCTTGGTTGAACCTGAGGGAGATTAAAATAAAGATGAAGATTTGAAGGTTAATAAAATATTTTTTGTGTATTTTTTTCCCACAGCATTTTTTGATGCAAAGAGTATCTGGAAAGCAATTACCACCCTGTGGTTGAGTATCATTAAATAAAAATATCAACACTCACAAGGATTTATTCTTGCTTACATGATAGAGGATGGTCTAGAGCATTAAGCTATGGATATTCTTAAATTTTGCATTTTATTTATGTCCAGAACTAAACCAGCAAAGTTCAAATCCCAGTAATGAGGTTACAACAGTGCAAATTATCAGATTTCCATTTATGCCCCTGATGAATCCTGGCCACAACAAAACTCCTGCTGTGGCTGATACTTTGATTTGATTCTTTCTAATTTTAAAGTTATGCAGGTATGGTAATGTTTCTAAATTAGTTTGATTCTATGTTTAACCTCAGTGTTGTTCCTTTAAAATGATTTTATTCAGCATAATTTTAATTTCAGACCAAAAATTGGAGCATTATTCTTCCCTCCCCAGTTTAAACAACTGAAAACTTGCCATAATATTTTTTTAAGACTTATCACTAAATGTGATAATAAAAAAACTGTAAAAAAAAGTCTGAATTCCTTACTGTTAAAGTTACAGCATCTTGAAATTTGTTGGCTGGAGTTAAGGAAATCTGACCAGACGAATACACAACCAGCTTATCTGGGAAGCTTTTTAGGGCAATATTGACTGGAAATTCCTCTTTGTAACCAAAAGCTTGAACTACAACTTTCTCAGAGGCCCCAGCTCGGAAGATCTTTGGTGCTGTAAGGACATATCTGTACATGGAATATGTATATTAATATACAATATATTAATATATAATATTAATAATGGAATAATGGAACTGTATTTCTTTCAGATTTCTTACTTCCCTCTGTAATTTGGTTACACAGCGTTAAAGCAAACAGGATAATCAGGTTATTGTAAGACACTAATTAAAATCCTATTTGAATAGTGCCCTTTGTTTTGGCTCTGCTTAAGTTCTGGATTTATTTAAACAAAATAAAGGACAACAATCAAGGAATGTTTCCAGTAAAATCCATATTTGCTTTTACTTACGTTTTCTCTTGGCTAAATGTCGTTCCAGAAAATAGTAAAACAATAAAATATATAAAAATAGTCATTGTGTCTGGGACAACAGCAAACCATAGATATCAGTGAGGGTGGGTTAAACAGCGTCTGCTGTGGGTGAGCAGAAATGCCACCAACACATTTCACTCACAGTTAATAATTAATGGCAGATCATTCTTTACTAAAAGTCCTTAGTAAAATATTTTTTAAAATCAAAGTGACCTTAAATTTCTGTCAGAAGCAAAAAAGCATTTGAGTTATATCAAACGTGTTTAGATGTGTTTAGACGTGATGTGTTTAGACCAGCATTAATTTTTTTTGCTGTTTTGAAATAACTTTTCCCTTACAAATTCCTTTTAGTCATTTGTATCCCAGATTGTGCCAACTTTCTGACCACTTCCATTACAAATAAAAACTGCAATATGGAAATATTAGATTGTGCCAACTTTCTGACCACTTCCATTACAAATAAAAACTGCAATATGGAAATATTAGAGCACAATATATCAGCATGCACCATTTTAAACAGTGTTTTGCCAAAAAAAAAAAAAACAACGAAAAAATCTGCAAAAAAAGAACCCCAGAACCATTGGTGACAAAACCTTTGCAGGCCAGATATCTAGGATAGCACCTCAACAAATAGGTTTATATAAAGTTAAACAAAGTTGTGCAAGAATGCTGAAGTTTAAACAAATATCACGGTCAACCTTTACGGGAAAAGCGTTTACAAAACTGTTTCTGATCAATATAAAATGAAATTACAGTATGGCCAGCTTCTCACCAAAGGTAGTGAACTAGAAGGGAAGTAATAATAGAATAAAAGCTTATAAAATGTAAGATTCTTAACATTATTAAAATGAGCGGCCAACATACGCCATTATTAAACACCAATAGGGATGGTACATAAATGAAAAGGCACAAATAGTGAAGAACACTGGGAAATGCTTTAAAAGTACTCTGAAATAGTGTTTTTAAAATCTAATTATGCTCCTTCCCTACATTTTTCAGAGACATTTTTTTAGAGCCTACTGGTTTTTCAACTTTGCATTTCACACTTACACAGATGCTGAACTAACACAGTCCAAGTGTTAAAAATTACACGCCTCTATGAAAATTACTATGGTTTAGACCAGACACGCAGAGTTTATAATTGTAAGTAAACTGTGTATTTCCAAGACTATTTAGATGCAATTTTGCAGTGAGATGCTAATGTGACACACGTAGATTACAGATATGAAAAAAACACCTATCAGCAGAGCAGGTTTTATTGTTTATACAGCGACTCCGGCCTTTAAATAAACCAAAATTTCTCAAGGTTTTATTGTTTATACAGTGATTTGGGCTTTATTTACCACAAACCCCTCAGGACTCTCCCTGAGGGGACGCGGCGGGAAATGGCGAGCCGGAGGCGGGGCCTCAGCGGCGGGAAAGGCGGGGAGGGGCGTGGTCTCGCACAAGACCCGCCCCTCAGCCTCACCCGCCGCGGCCTCCGACCGAACAAAATGGCGGCGGGGCGGCCCCTCAGGGAGCGCCCTTAAAGGAGCCGCAGCGCCCGGGGCTCGGCGGTGCGGGCGGCGATCGTTCGGTGAGGGGAACGAGGCGGCGGAAAGGTGCGTTGAGAACCCGTGCCATCCTTCGGGAGAGCTCCGAGGCCGCCCTGCCCTCCCGTGCCGCGGCGACGAGCGGTAAGACGGCGTTACCATGTCAACGCAGGTAATCAAAGCGGAGGCCTGAGGGGGATCGCCCTGCGGCGGTAACCGGGAGGGGATGGGGGGGTCTGGGAGCACACGGGGGCCCCGATCCCCGTCAGTCCCTCGGGAGTGTCTCCGCGAAACCACAACCTTCCTCAGGAAGCAGCGTTAAAACCAAGAACTGCGCTTCTTGAAACGTGAAGGAACGCCCCAATGTGGCTCTTCGTTAGCGCGCCAGCATCTTTTTCTCTCTCCTGCGCCTTCCAGTCTCACTGTCCTGATCTTGTATGAATTTGGTTTCCAACTACTGGGTAGAAAACAGTGGCCCTTACTCTTGCCCCCTCTTCCCTTGTCCTTATTTCCTTTCCAATTTCGGAGGGGAAAAAAATCCATCTCAATGAGGAACATATTCTCAAGGTATGTCATGACTCACAAAGCTCCAAGAGACGGCTTTTCTGTCTTAAAGAATGTTTTGAAATGTGCTCCTTATTCAGTGGGTGGAGGTGTTAGTATATCTCTGTCCTTTGGAGATGGCTGCTACAAGGGCTTTGTCACACGGAATACATGGCTTTTCCTACACTTATCCCTGGGGAAATATGTTCATCACTGAGAGAAGTTGCTGTTAACATTCTCTGGAATTTCCCAGGCAGTCACAGGATAATTTGTTTGCAGAAAGGAAAACTCTGGGAATGCCAATGCTAGGCTGATATTAATTTTTATTTTTTTCTCAGTTACCTTTTTCTGCTTGCATTTGTTCTTACTGCAAAGGGGCTGATTTCAAGCTTTGGGAATAGTTGGGATCCAGTCCTCTCTTTGTGTCCCTGCCAGCTCTATTAGCCTGAACTGAGAGCATCTCCACACCCAGCAAATTTTGTGTAAACTACAGACTGCAGGACAGGAAGAAGATGAGCTGCAAGCACAAAGCTGCTCAGTCAGTCCCTGGGGCTGTGCTGTAGAGGGGTGGGAGTATAAAGGTAAAATTCTTCCCAATGCCAGGAAAACTGGAAGCTAGCACCCATTGGAGATGTGGTTTTTGGCAAATTCTGTAGCACCTTTGTTGTCATGCAAACCTTTCAAGATTTAGCTTTTTACACAGACTGATAATTGTCTCAGTTCTTCCAGGTATTGCCATGTGATACCCGGCATTTCTGGCAATGAAGAAAGGCTTTGTAAGGAATGCTTCAGGTAGAAATCCACAGGCATCAGCGTCCCACATAGCTCAGCTAATGTCACCTGTCAGTTCAAGTGCCACATCTCCACATCTTGGCCAGCAGACACCTCCAGCAGCTCCCAAAAGCATGGAGCAGAGGTCCCAACGACTGGGTATTCCAGCAGAAAATGTTGGAGCTGCTTTTAAATTCCAGAAAGGTATTGTATAGTAAATTATGATGATATTCAAGTACATACCACAAGCTTTAAAAGCCAGTATTTTGTGAATTGTGTGATTAAAGATGTATGATCTGTTGGAAAGAAGCCTGAAAAAATTGCTTTAATCTTTTTTTTGTTTTTGAACACAAATGTGGAAATGGGAGTAATGAAAACTGGGGAGAATAATGAGACTTTTACTTCTTCCTGTAAATGCTTCTGGGGGGAATCATTTTCAATGTTTTTCCATTATTAAGTGTAAAGAAAGCAACAAATATAAAAAATCATCAATCCTTTCTGTTTAATTGCAGTTGAAAATGGTGTTAGCCCGGGGGTTAAGTACATAACTGAACCCCTTATAAAGGGTCTGTCAAAACAGCAAAATCTGGCATGCATAAGCTCACTGAATCTTTCTTCCCCAAAGGATGGGGACAAGAAATTTAAGGTAAGTAATTTGAAATAACTGGAAACTAAACTAAGTTTAAAATAATTACAATTTATTGTTTAATACAGGCTTATATTTAAGTGGATGTAAACAGTACAGTCTAATTATTTTAGCCCAGTTCTGCAACCAGCTTCTGTTAAGAAAAAAAATCCAATGGAGACTTGAGTAAAAGAAAAATAATTGATTCATTAGAATGATGCTTAAAACAGATTAGTTCCTGTAATTTTTTAAGTTTTGGATTGAGCTGGTTTTGGCTGGTTTGGGGCTTTTTGTTTGTTTTTGTTTTTGTTTTTTAATAACATGTTCCTTTTTATGTAGATGAAAACTGGCCCACTGTAAATTTAAAATCCAGCTTTCCAGCACTATAGAAGACTGTACCTAAATTGGGGTTTTAGAATACCAGAATGAACTGTGATTAACAAAATGGTAGAATATTTGGTATTTTTAATTAATAGGTGATTTTCTCTTTAAAAAATCCAAATCCTATGCTAAGAGATTTTCTGTTCTTTAGTACATAGAAAATTTGGAAAAGTGCTCTAAACTGGAGGTGCTAAACCTTAGTAACAACCAAATAGAGAAAATTGAGAAGTTGGATAAACTGCTGAAGCTGCGTGAGCTCAACTTGTCCCGCAACAGAATCAGGTAAGAGGAATAAACCACAAATAAACCACAGGGTTTGGAGAGCCCAGGGTTGATAAAACTGATTTTCCTTCCCTGTTTGAGTTTTCCCACAGGAGTGAGCACTTGAGGTGAGTTTCCCAATTGTATGTCAAGACTAAGAGGCTTTGAGGTCTTTTTAGAAAGCACAGCTCTGAGGTATTAGAAGTATAAATAGTTCTGGGAAGTGCTGTCAGTGTACCAGGGCTGTGGTTTGATTTGTTTTCCTTGGAAAACGAGCCAGAAGTGCAAGTTTCCAGATACCACAATGAAGAGTGGGCAAAAACCCTATGAAGTGCATTAAAAATTAATTAAACTTTTACTGTTTGTTTTTACAGGTAATATAATAAGCTTTTCTTTTAGGAAAGGAAGCTGAATGGGCTTGATCAGGCAGGCCATAAATTCCCTAAATTGCTTTTGAACTCTTAAGAGACTGGTGTCTTGTTTAAAGCATTGAAGGGTAATGGTTCATGCAGTAGCAAAACTCTTAATTATTAATTCTGTCAGTGAATTATGATCTTTACCATTATGAAACTGCCTTTGCAGCAGAGAAGCTGCCATTTCAGTGAAGACATTTACAATGGGAAGTGAGTAAAACCCAGAGTTTCTACACAATGCGTTCACACAACTTCCTCTGTCAACAGGAATTGAAAAGGATGAATTAGCTTTTAGCTCCTGCTCTGTTTTCACATTTTGGTTACATACAGCTCGGATGTACCCAAAAAATAGCACAGTCACAGGAGCACATCCTGCTCTACTTCGTTGTAATACTCATGGTTTTCTTAATGTTCACACATACCCATAAAAAATGCTCAAGTAAACTACAAACTAGCATGTTTTCCTCAACAGTTTTCATGAAAACACTAAAAATGGAGCTCTTCATGCTGTCAGTTTACAGTTGATCCTTCCTTTTTATGGGAAGATAAAGCCCCACAAAATGACTTTATTTTGATTCATCTTTATCCCATTACATTCTTGGGAGAGAAGGAGCAAATTTTCCCCATGAAAATGGAGTTACCACACATTAAAACAGTGTTAATGTTGAAATGAAGACATGCAAAAGTCATGAGTTTGCAACAATGACAGAAAATTGTGCTGTGATTTTTGGTCCTAATTTAGTACTTTTAAGTAAGATAGTGTAATTTCACTTGAATTGTCCATGGCAGTAAATAATGGTTTTGCTGATCTCTTGGTTAATTAATTGTGACAGATTTTGTTGTAGTTTATCCATAATGCCTCAGTTTCACGTTAAATTTGCTGTGGTTCATGGTGAATTGAATTTTTCTTCTCATTTTCAGCAAAATTGAAGGCATAGAACATTTGCAGAACCTACAGAAGCTGAACCTGGCAGGGAATGAGATTGAGCACATTCCTTTGTGGGTAGGGAAGAAGCTGAGATCCCTTCAAAGCCTGAATTTGAAACAGAATAAAGTGTCATCAGTAAGTGATTGTGGTTAGAAACAGGCATTGTTCAGCCTTTTCATGGAGTGACCTGGGGTATTTACACTGATTGACTTACTCTGGGTAATTGCTGAGTGTCTTTCCACAAAGTCTGCTGCAAAATGCAGCAGCTGGGAGCCTAATAAAGTTATTTATCAGAGAAACTCCTGCTGTGCAGGTATTGAAGATGCAAACAAATATTAGGTTTGGGAAAGTGTAAGTTTTTGGGAGGTTATACATCCACAAGCGTTGATACCTTGAAATTTCCAAGATAAAGCTTGATTGCATTTACACTCTTTGCAATGGCATTTTATAATAGAGGAAATAATTTGATTTTAAGAAGCTACTTTAGGTTTAATACTGTGCATTTTGGTAGGTTTTTAGAGCTTAATCTTTAGCATAAAGGTTAAAATAAATCCTTTGATACAGACCTAACACAGAACATTCTACATAATCAGAAATTCACTCCTGGGAGTTTAAACCTTCTCAGAAGGATGTCTAATCATTGTTTTGTTTCTCTTTGATTTAGCTCCATGATATAGCTAAACTAAAGCCTCTGCAAGATCTGACCTCTCTGTTCCTTGCTGAAAATCCAGTTGCAAGTCTGCCTCACTACTGCTTGTACACCATATTCCACCTGAGGGCACTGGAAAACTTGGATGGACAGCCTGTGACAAACCATGACAGGCAGGAAGCTCTGGAGAGGTTTAATTTGGGTAATAATCTGTTAAATCTAAAGTGAATGACACAAAATTTAAGTTTAGAAGGAAAAGATTTTTTCTATTGGAATGTTTGTCTGATTTTGTTTTTCAGAAGAAGTAGAAAAATTAGAAAGAGAATTGGAAAACACAAAAAAGGAGATGGAGAATGTGAAACTTAACCAGTCCAAAGTGCTTGAGCAACTTCAGCATCAAGATGAGCTCAACAAGTCACTAAAGGAAAAGGCTGTGCAACAGAGACAAAGCTTTGAAGAGCTGCAGAGGGACCTGGGCACCAAAAATGAGCTGGTAAGATAATCCCTGGCACTAAGGAAATCTTTGGATGCAGAGTTATCACTGTGAGAGCTCAAATGACTGAAGATTTAATTTTAAAACTGAGAGACTTCCAGCTCTCTTTAGAGAGTGGTTATTGACCTTCAGTTTTCTTTCTGTGGAAAAAAGTAAGTATATGGAAGCAGCACTCAGTATCATCTTGTGATTTATAGTAACTTCTTTGTTTCTAGTAATTATTTATGGATTTCTGTTCAAAATTTTGTCAACTGATGAAAGGTTAAGCTGCTAAATTGCTGATGTTCTGAATATGCTGAACTGGTCAGACTCTAACGTGCTGCTGCAAGATGGAAGAAAATTGGTACTTTTACAAAAACAAGATGTGCACACAAGCTGTATGCCAGTAACAGCCCTTGGTTATTATTTTGGGCAATGCCCACCACTGTACTTTTATTTTATTCACATCATCCTAAAGTCTTATGTTTGAGTCTCTTTCATTGGTAGCCATAAAATGCAAGCAAAGTCCTACTGCCTTGAGAATGCTGGGCTGTGAATGACCTGATGGGGGCTTAATATTTGGATTTTATCCTGTTAGACTTGTCCTCTAAAAGTTTATCCTTCAGACTCCCATACCTGGTACTTCTGTAGCTGTTTCTCTGAACACACACACACTAACCAGCAGTCTGCTTCTAGAATGGAGTTTGCAGTATAATGAGATTTAGCAGCAAATACTTTGCAACCTGAACCCACTCTTCTCCTTTGGATGACAAACTTGGCTCACTTCTGTCTCCCTTCAGCTGGTGTCTGGGTTTGTCACAGTCCCCTTCCTGCAGAGCCTTTGTTCCTCACTAAAGGTAGCCCCACTGTGCCCCTGGGTTGCATGGTTGGTTTAATTTCTAGGGTGTATTTGCACGTTCCCTGAAGTAGCAACATTTTTATGGAGTGTCCCAGTGACATTTTTTATTCACTGTGGTTTGGAGTACAATTTTCATGGTATTTTTTTCCTCTTTTCTCTGAAACAGAGTTAATTTTTGCATGACATTTATCAGGTTTTGAAATCTTTCTTTAAGCCTTTCCTGTTCTATTTCTCTTTCTCCATTAGTCCTGCTTTCCACTCTCTATTGGAATTGTGCTGCATGTTCTCCCTCAGGTATTCAGTGTGAAAAGTTGATTTAAAAAGAGATCACATGATGGACCTTTACTTAAAAATAACCTCAAAACCAATCTAGCACATGGTTAAGCTAAAATAAAATACACAGACTTTGTACTCTTGACAGTTGAGATATTTTGGGTTTTTTACAGACCACGAGTATTAATAGTCCTCATGCTCACTAGTAGCAGTAAATATATTTGTTATTTTGGCCTAGATTTTGCTAAAAGATTGTACCCAAATCATTATTTTATCCTAAATTAGGTTTAAAAATAAACTTGTCACTTTGATGTATGTAAACTTAAAAGGCCTTTCATGTGATCATTTGTATTCTATTAATTGTGGGGCTTTTGTCTCCTCTTAGTCACCATTGTAAAATTACCCCTTGTGATATTCCTGATCCAAAACTGTGCTGTGAGCTTTGTTCCCACATGAAGGGCTGTGCCTTGCTGTCTGTGGAGCTGCACTGAGTGTGACAGTGATGAGTGAATCCCAGGGAATGACACTCACTGAGTTTTGTGGTTTCTCAGCTGAAGCAGAAGACAGTGGAGCTGACCCGGGCTTGCCAGAAGCAATATGAGCTGGAGCAGGAGCTGGCCTTTTACAAGATTGATGCAAAATTTGAGCCCTTAAATTATTTTCCCTCAGAGGTAATAATTTTAAAATCATGGCTCTTTTTATTGCTGTTTCCCTTGAATTTTCAACTTAGAATATAAAAACCTTATTAGTTTTTCTATAATCTAATAGATGCTGTTTTATTAAAGGCACAACCTCTGTCATACCTGCAAACAAAAATGTGGAGATTCCAGAGATTAATCCATAAGAAAAGTAAAGATCAGTAATCAGTGACTAGAATTAAGTTATATCTGAGTAAACCTAAGTGCAAGAATGAAATGGACTAAATATAATCTAAGTAAATTCAATACACTAAGAAAAAGTTCCTCCAGACATCTGCAATAAACTGGTCACACCCTAGCTGGGTTGGTTTGGTTTTAGTTCCATTATAAAATAACAATGTTTAAGGCCAAAATCATTAAGTATAACCTGTAAAAATCTAATTTTATAATAAGCAAAATTCTAATTCTATAATAAGTAAAATTCTTGTCATTTCAAGTTGTTTTTTCTTTTTATGCTGGATAAGAAAACTAAATGTGTGTTAGGAGTTGACTGCAGCTATAGTTCTGAGATAAAGACTCTGCTTCTTACATTTCAGGAGGTTGAGCTTGATAATGTACCTGGTGAAAGTCCCTACATTGGCAAGGCCAGGTACAAAAGAAATATGTTTATAAGGGAAGGATACATTGCTGACAAAGCTCAGCAGCTGCAGGTTGGGAAAATGCAACAGGAGAAAGATGACTCCTGTAGGAAACCCCAGCTGGAATCACATCTCCAAAGTCTAGATAAAATACTGCATGATAAGGAAGAAAAGATTAATTCAGGTAAAACCTTATTTTTTATCCATAAAGATAAAAACTTGTAGATCAGTGTGGTTTAGTCCAGTAGTTACATGCTTGACAGAAGAATAGAAACAGTGTGTCAAAGGCTGGAAGTGCTGTGATTGTTAAACACTGGACTTGGTGCCTTTTTTGTGTCAAAACTGCTACAATTTCTTACTGCTGTTATTTTAAGATAACTCAGGATGAGAACATTACTTAGGATGAGAGCATTACATGTTATTAAAAATACGGTTCTAGGGATGTTTCATATTTGATGCATGAATTTAACTGTGTAATACTTGTTAAACAAACTTTGGACATACTTTCTGAGAAACCAGAATGTATTAGCTGTGATTATCACTTTGTAATGGTGTGCTGATTAATGTGCTCATACACTGCTGTGTATCAGTGTTATACACAATATTATAATGCATTTTGTGGGATTGTGGGTTTTGTGTTGCGTTTCTTTTGTCTGCAGCACAAAGAAGATTAGAAGAACTGCGAAGTGAAATTGGAACTGCAGAGCAACAAGTGCTGAAAGTAACAGAGGAGCTGCAACAACTGGAGGATGCTCTGGCTCAGAAAAAAGTGAGTTTTTCCACAAAGAGCAAGGGAAGGTGTTTGGAGCAGTGTTGATGTAAGAAAATACAACTTTTTCTCCCCGTTCTTATAAAGAGGCCACTGTACAGACATCCATCCATCCATGTGTCAAGCATCAGGAAAATCTTCCAGATTGATTTACTGTTCATAAATCAGCTGTTAGAGCTTTAATGCAGTTAATGGCATCTGTTCCATGTGCTGCTTCTGATTTATTGCTGACTTTCCCCAGAAGCCTGGAAGAACCTGCTGTATAGGTTGAGTTGTGCAACTAAGCAATGTAGCTACAGAATTGGCAGCAAGAATTAATTTATCAGCAATAAACTAAAACAGCATCTTCCACTTCTTCAACTGTCATCAATTATTGCTATTTTTAATTTTGAAACTTGCCTGAAAATCAGTGACCAGGATCTTCTTTATTTAAATGTAAAATATATTCTTGATCTGTGTATTTCCAACCACTCAACCTCCTGATGCTGTCTCCAGATCTCCCAGGCCAGCAAGGAAGCAATTGAACAGCAACTGAGTGGAAAGTTAAAAATCCTGCAGGAGCTACGCAAGGAAACCATAGAACTGGAAAAACAAATAGAGAAACAGAAAAGAGAAATAGAGAAAAATCAGAAAGAGCTTGAAAATTTGCAGACTTCTCTTGGTTCTGTAAATCCTGAGGATCCAAGGCATGTAAGTAAAACTAGAATCTGGAGTTTTTGTATACTGTGCAGTGGACTAAAGGCTGCTTTAACAGGTGACCATTCACTTGTGCCTATTTCACAAGTTATGTATTCTTTTGCTGTTTATCAAAGTCATTAACTTTTAATTTGAAAGTTAAAAAATCTTTACAGTTAAAAAATCTCAGCACACCAACCAGCTTTGGTAAAACACTTGAACAACTCATTTTTCCAGCAGCTCCTGTAGAGCATGTTAAGAATTCAATCTTATCCACTAAAATTAAATCCAAACACGCTGGGCAGAGCCTTACAGACAATTTCTGTGTAAGAAATCCTTCAAGCATCTTTTTGTGCAGTCTGGCCTTAAAGGTTTTTAAACATCTGTGTCTGGTAGTGCTTATCCCACCTGTTTGGTGGGGACTGATGGCCTTTCTCTGCTGTCAGCCCAGTCCTGTCAGTCCCGAGAGAATCAGCAAAGCCTCACAGGTCACATCCCCCAGGGTTGCGGTGCCAGGGAGAGCTCGAGCTTCCACCTAACTTTGTGATCATCAGGGATGCAGGGCTTTTTCTGAGTTATTAACAGTGTTCAGGGACAGCAAACGCTTATTGAAATTAAGCTAGAATGAAACTGAATTATCTTTAATCGTGTTCTTTAAAAGCTTATATCTCTAAATGGAAGTTTTTCGGGCCCGCTGGATGCTCTTAAATGAGAAGTGAAAGTATTTTTATGCTTTGCTCCGTTTTCAGCAGAGACACTTGTTTTAAAAGCTCCTTTTGTATTTTTAAACTTAATTTCCTCGGTTGGGTGGCAGAAGGGCCGTGGGCGTTCCGGGAAGGCTCCCGGGGGAATGGCCGGGCCCGGGGCAGGAGCGGGCCCGGGGCAGGAGCGAGCGGGCCCGGCCCTTCCCGCGGCCGCCCCTCGCTTCGAATCACAACACAGGAAGCGCCCTGCGGGCCAACGGCTGGGAACGGGAACGGGAACGGGGCTGGGAACGGGAACGAGCTGGGAACGGGAACGGGACCGGCAGCGGAGCCAGGGCGGCAGATCCCGCCCCCGGCCCGGACCCCACGGAGACTCCGCTCAATCCCTGCCCGTGCTGAAGCTCCCGGTGCTTTATTCAAATGAATTCCCGCTCAGGGGTAGGGCGTTCTGCAAGTGCTGTCTCAGGAAGAAAAGACAAAGGCAAAGCTGTAAGTGGTCGGGATCTTGCGGTTTTTTGTTTCTTTTTAAAACTGCATTTTTGGTGCCATTCAGCAGCTGCAGCAAGATGGCTCAGTGACAGCGGCTCGGGTTTTACTTGTTGAAATCTCCCTTTCGAAACCTGCAGGGCGGTTTGTGTTTAGCAAGGTGACAAGTTGAACTGTGCTGATATGGATGTTTAAGTTAACTTCCGGTTTAATCCAGTAAAAATACAAAAAGCTTTGGTTTTACCCATTTACTTTTGCTGTGGAAGCAACTTTGTAAGTGCGCTTTTTTTTTCTGAGAACTCATGTTTAAATTTTCTACTGCTAGCTCGATTTATTTTTTTGAGTAGTAATAAAAACATGCAGTTAATCATGACAGTATAATTCTGTATTTTCCCAAATTTCTGGCGTTTGGCTTGTTTCTGAGCAATATCACACTGGTAAGAAATAACACTTTATTCTGTCGATAACCAAGTTTTTGTAAACAGCTGAAACAATCAGTTAATTCATACTAAATGCATGAAGCCCTTGCCAAAGTCTGTGTGAGCTGTGTGGTGTATCTCCTAGAAATATTTTAATAAAATAAGATTTACTTAGGAATATTTACTTAGTAACTGTAAAGTTGGCCCGACTTGCTGTTTGCTCAGAGTACCTTCCTTCAAGTGCTGACCTGACATGTTCTAAAGCATCATCTGCTGTGAGGGCAATGCAGGATGACAGGATTAAAGGTTCTGGGAGAAATCATGTTTGTTCTTGACTGAGAGAGGAAGTGGTAGAACAAAATGTAAAGGCAGGAAGAAAGATAGTAGCCATGAGTACTAATTTCTAAATGCAGGCATTATTCAGCCTGGGCAGGGGGGAGCCTGCAGACAATGCTGGTAGTCACAGATTGCTGCTTATCTGGGGTCCTTTGTGGGGCGGGGCTGAGGGAAAATAGCAACAAGTAACAAATCCCAAAGCACCACAGTGTGTGCTGAGCTTGTGGCTTTTCTTGCTGATAATGAGACACTGCAGAATTGAGACAAAATCCCAATCTGATTTTTGAAATCTGTGTTGATGCCCTGTTTTACCTTTGTGTTTGTTACTTGACAGGCTCACATGAAAGCTCAAAAAGCAAGTAAAGAACAGCACCTTGATATAATGAGCAAACACTGCCAGCAGCTGGAGACTCGCCTGGATGAGATGCTCTCCAGGATTGCAAAGGAAACTGAGGAAATCAAGGATTTGGAGCAGCAGCTCACTGATGGTAAATTTTAATTTTTGTCTTAAAATATTTCTTGTGCTTAGGGTAACATGACAAATATATTGAGGATTGTTTTGTTTATCTTTGCTCAAATGAAATACAGAATGGGCACAAAAGTGTTAAAAAACTGTCTTAACTGATGTAAAAGGAAACTGTGTGTGTTTACCTCACTTGTACCTAGTTGGGAAAGGGGGGCAGGAATGCATAAAGAACTGAAATTTCTTTTATCCGTTCCAGTGGCCAGGTTAGCACAGTAATATTGAGAGTCCTAACCTTAAAAACAGCATTTTCTGGTTGAGTTCTAGGTACTTGTTTTTATTTACTCCAATGTCAAGCATTTGAAATGATGAAGGCAGGCACTTTGGTTTGTTTGGTAAATAAATGTGGCTTCTTAACTACCTCAAATTAATTTTGTATTCCTTCAGGTCAAATAGCAACAAATGAAGCACTCAAAAGGGATCTGGAAAGTATTATCACTGGCTTACAGGAATACCTGCAAAGTGTGAAGCATCAGGCAAAACAGGCCAATGAGGAGTGTAAGAAGTTGAAGAAGGAAAAAGAATCTTTGCTGGGAAGATTGACAGGTCTGGAGGAGGAAAAAAACAACCTGGAAGTGGTTGCCATGGATGCAGAAAATATGAGAAAAGTAAGGCTTAATATCTCTTTTCCCAAGTTCAGATATCTAAGAATAAACTTAAAAAAATAAGCTGGTGGTCAGATTGGGACTAAGGAAGCACAGTTCCTTGGACAAAATAATTTCTGATATAGCAATATGATGAAATGTGCACGTAACCCTCAAGAATAGAATCTGGCCTTTAAAACCAGTTGCAAGAGACATCCAGTAAATCTATTCTTTGTGGGAGATGGCTCAGAAATGCAGGTTTCACCTTGCAGACATCACTGCAAGTGGATTTGCAGGTGACACTGTGGGGAATGGCATCAGGGAAACCTCTGATGTTGGCCAGGGGTGTGTGTCAGCAGCTTGGATCTGTCCTGTCAGCCAATGGCACTGAGCTGCCTGGTCATCCTGATGTGTAGACCTGAACTCCTGGGACAATTCTGTTTCACTTCCAGCTCCACCTTTCTAACCTGAGTGTGGATTTTGGACAGTCAGTGGCACCACTGACCTGACCTTGCAAGTAGAAGTGTCATTCACCTTCGAGTTTTAATGGAGTTCCTGAGTTAAAGGGAAGGGAGGCAATGTACTCTTAAATTCTGTCTCTCCCATGTACATCCTTCTAAAATGGGTATTAAATTCCAGGAAATTGCAATGCTGGAGAGTTCACTCCAGGAGCAGAGAGACATAAATGAGTCCCTTCAAGGTGCTCAGGGGAAGGTCAGCACCTACAAGGCTGAGCTGGAAGCTCAGTTAAGAGAGAGAGATGCTGAAGCCAAGCAGCAAAAAGAAGAATTTGAAAGACTGAAACAACTTAGCCAGGTAAGAACAGAGCTTTAGTGCTGCCAGAGGTGTTAGCTACCCCAGGACTCCTCATCTCCAATGTTAAATCAGCTTGCTGGGGTTTAGAACTTTGCTTTGAAGCAAGGTCCAGATGGTTTGCTTGGGGTTGTTTTGTTGGATCTTTTTTAGGTGCTGTCATATTGTTACTGTTCTAAGAAATGTATCTGTCATGTGTTTGGGTGACAGGTTGGGGTTGGGAGTGGGGATATTAATCTGAAGGTTTTGTGGTTTTGTAGATGGAATTGTCAGCCCTGCAGGATGAACTTGAAAAGGAAAGACAACTGTTAGAGAATGCTCAGACCAAAGCACAACTGGCAGAAGAGAAGGAACAACAAAATTACAAGCTGCTTTTACAGTTCAAGCAATTGCAGGTGAAGTATTTGTTGTATTTAAAAAATCTAGCTTCTATCACTTGTGGATTTGTTTGCTTAGATTTATGTGGATTTTTTTTGATCTATTTTTAGGGTGACAATAATTCCCTGAAACAACAGCTTAAAGATCTCCAGAATCAGCTAAACCATGCAGTTGGTAACTTAATTCACCCTGAGGATGTCATGGCTTGTATAAATGAACTCAGGCAAAAGCTTCAGACAGGAACTGGAGAGATGAAGTGAGTAAAATAAAAGTACAGTGTGAGATACGAGCATGTGGAAGGGGCAGGACAAAAGGAATTGGCCCCACATTGTGCCAGGGAAGGTTCAGGTTGGATATCTGGGAACTTTTCATCACTGAAAGTCTTGCCAGGCATTGGAACAGGCTGCCTAAGACAGTGGTGGAGTCACCAGCACTGCAGGGATTTAAAAAATATTTAGATGTGGCACTTGGGGAGATTGGTTGGTGGTGGCCTTGGCAGTCCTGGGGGAATGGTTGGTTTTGATGAACTCAGAGAGTTTTTCCAACCTAACCTGAATGAATTACAGCATGTCTCAAACTTGCACTATTTGTCATTCATGATTTCAGTATCCGGTATCACAACTTAAAATCACTGTTTGCTGTCTTGGAACCTGGATTGTTTCTCTTTCAGGTGTCTAAATTCAGCTGATATTTTAGGAAAAAACCTTGCAAGTCTCCAGAAAGAATTCAATGACATCCTTGCTGATGCACAGAAGGAAAAAGAGAAAGCATGGGATGGACAGAGACAGCTGCAGGAAGAAATGGTATCCCAGCAGGAAAAAATGGAAAAAATACAGGAGAAATACAGACAGGCACGTATCAAACAACAAAAGCAGGAGTAAGACAATTGCAGCTTAGTCTAAAAAATGTAACCTACAGCTGAAGGATCAAGTTTCACTTGAAGCTTTGCTGTGCTCTGTCCTTTGTGTAACAGTGGAGTCTGATTTGATTTTTCATTAATAGTCTTCCTGATTTTTACCTGATTATTTGGTGAGTTGGAATTTGGTCAATTATCTGTCTCAGAGGCAACAAAGATTTCAATGACCACAGAAAAACACAGTTCTGAACCTTCTTGAAAGGTCTTTATGCGTATCTCTAATAAAATAACTGAGGCACTCTTAAAATATTACAGTTCCAGTGGCACATTTGTTACCTTTCCTTTCTGTTTTGATGCAAAGTATGCTGGTAACTGGATTTCCCAGAAATTTAATTAAATAATTAAAACAGCCTTTTGATTGGAAAAACATTTCTGGCTACTTATTTTAATGTATTTTACTTACAGGTTAAAGCTGAAAACAGGCAAAATAAGAACAAGGTCCATCAGTTAGAGAATGAAATTCAAAGTTTACATGTAAAAATAAAGAGCATGGAAGAGGTTCAGGGCCTGGCTGATCAGCAGCTCCAGGAAGCAGATGAAGAAAAAGAGGCTATTCTTTCTCAGCTGAAGAATTTAGAGAAAAGGGTAAGAATGGGTAAGGGAAGGTCTGTGCACTGTTTGTTTGCTTAGGAAAGAAGAAACAAAAACTTGTGAATTTTTGCTTTCTAAGATAAAACAACACACGTAGGAACACAAATGTTAAATATAACATCTTTTTTTTCCTTAAATTTTACTGCTTGTCCTCACTTTAGATATTTTTTCCAAGCAGTACAAAATGGGGTTGGGGGGAGGATGGAAGAAAGTGTATTGTAAAAGTCCATTTTCCTGCTTTCAGAAAAAAGTTGAAGATGCCAGGACACAGATGCAAGTGCTGAGCCTGGATAAGGAGCTGAAGGAGCTGCAGAGAGCAGTGATCACCTCAGACAAGCTGGCAGCCACTGAGCTCTCCATCGCTGCAAAACAGCTCAAGGCTCTGGAGGGGACTCTGCTCAGGATTAATCAGGAGAGAGTTGAGGTAAATGAGCATAGGGAATGAATTAATTGCTTGTTAATGCCATTGCAGTGGGAGCAGTGCTGTTGTCCTTCAAATGAGCTTCAGAGCTTTCTTCTAAATTGTTCTGAGCTGCATAGGAGCTCTTTTTTTGGACAGAGTTTGAGATGCAGTAGATGAGTGAGGAAATTTGGGTATGGACAGGTTCATGCTGTGGGAGGGGGAAGTTCATTAATCTCTTATTAACTGAAAGGCAAACAATAGATAATGCATTGTTTCTGTAAGACACAAACACAAAAGAAAGGGCTGGAAACTCTTTTTCAAGCCCAGAACCACTTTTGGCTACATAATAACACCTTCTCTGTAGCAATACTGTAAAGTTAAAGGAGAAACTGTATTTTACATCTATCTAGAGTTCCAGAACAGTCAGGTGCTGATGCTTCTAAATGGTTAGCTTTTCACAATGACCCATCTCAAGCCTGAGAAATGTTCCTGCAAACTTCAGCTCAAATGAAAATCTCAATTTCAGGAGCGTGAGGAAGCCCAGGAGCTCTGTGCTGAGGCAACTCGTGCTTCTCAGGCTCTTGCCAGAGCAGAAGCAGAAATAGAATTGCTACAACAACTCCTGAAGGAGAAGGAACAGCAAGTAGGTTATTTTCTCTGTGTTATATGATAAAATACCAGTGAGTTTCTGGAAATGTCATGTTTAGATTTTCTTGCCCTGCCCTTTTCCCCTCAAGTTTTCCCAAATCACAGTGTTCTTCCCTTCCCTTACACCTGCCCAAGAACAAACTGAAAACCTCACTGCCTGGAGCAGCTGAGTGTAAAGGAAAACCATCACCTGTTCACTCAAACATCTCTTACATGAGGGGATGGGAAGAACAGTTTTGTGGCATTGAGTGGGAGCTTTTTGTGATTTAAGCTTCTATTTCAAATAGGTTCTGCAGGAAATTGAGAAAGCTGGTGAGAAAACTGTTGCATCAAACGCTCAGAAGTTTGAAATTAATAAATTAAGTGAAGCTGTGGAACAGCAGAAAGCAGAGATTGACCGTTTGAAATGGTTGTTGGATAATACTGGGACAGGTAATTTCTCTTTTCACTCCACTTCTTGCAGATAGACAGGGATACAGAAGATTATTATTCCACATTTCTCACTGTTTGAACTGAGAATCTGGAGAATAGTGTTGAGAAAACCTTGTATAAAGGTTTATACAGGATGTGTGTCAATGTTCATTTGTTTGCACTTTCTACACCTGTTTAGAAAATACTGATTGTGCTGAGCATTCAATTAAAACTGCTCTAGGACATTGTCAGAGCTCTGTGTAAGGAAAGTGAGCAGCAGTTACCTGGATCTGAACATCTGTTTCCACAGTCTTAAACCACCAAACCTCCTGTGTATGTCTGTCATTATAGATAACATTTAGTTTCCCTCAGCAATTATTTTTTTAAAATATTGTTCAAGTTTAACTGGGTAACACTGAGGGAAAAGTTGAATGCAGCATCTATTTAACATTTGCCTTAGATGACTCTAAAACTCTGCTTAATTTCTAGGTAACAAAGATGAAATTGAGACCTTACAGGGTGAAATTGCAGCCCTCAGAAATGTGCTTTCACAGAATGAGCACAGCAGCAGTACAGCAGAGCCCCTGAAAAGAGGGGGATACTGGTACTACATGCCATCATCACAGGTCAGGAATAGAAATCCTGTTATGGATTGTTTTCCTTGTGGAAAGCCCTTTCATGGGGGAAGGTGCATTATAAATTTAGTAGGTTTGGGGGAAATTTAAGAACAAGTATTGTCTGGTATATAGGAGAAATACTGAAATAAAACACACACAAATGTTCCCTGGTAATGCCCTTCACTGTGCTGATAGGAGTCCAGGGTACATAACATGGGGAGAGAACTATTCAGTGGGCAGTACTGAAAATCCATTTAGTTAAGTATTTAAAGGAGATCTTACAGACAAACATTTCTTTCAAAAGAATACCTGTCTGAATTTAAAAGCAATATTGTTAAAATATATTTAGTGCTTTTAAAGCAGCCTCATGCTTAGAACTGAGAGACAGCACAGTATGTGTAGCCTGTTCTGAAAAATCATTAGAATGTCCACAGCAACTCCTTTATTTGCCATGATTTGTCATTTCTGGATTAACATGTGCTGTATTTTTTCTTCAGGCTTCAACTCCTGCTTCCCACAGCACCAAAGACTCTGGAGTGTGTTTGGGGTGCTCTGGCACATCCTCAGCCAGGAGAGGGGATGCTCAGGACAGGCCCTGTGGGCGCGAGGAGTTGCCCAGCCAAGGATGTTTGGTTTATTCACCCGTCAGAAACAGGTTGTGCAGAGCAAATTCTGGCAAAGGTAAGTCAGTGTCAGTCTCAGAATGTTTAGGAGCAGACTAAAGATGGGCTTGCTTAGAGTTCACAGGGAGTTTTTTTTGATGGGCATGAGTGAATATAAATGTTTATTACTGTTGAATAACTTTGTTTAAGCAAAATTTGTTACATTTTTGTAAATTGCATAGAATTTTAAATGTGCATTTGAAGGTTATCACTACTGAAAAAATTGTTAAAAATAACATGTTTGGTTTTGTCTGTTTTAAAGACAGAAGAACAAAAGAAGATGGTGAAGGAAATGCAGGATCTCCTGTCCCTGAAGCTTCTCCCTTTGTCCCACCCCCGGGCACAGTTATATACACAGCCCTTCCAGATGGGGCCCCTGCACCTCAGGGCATGGGGGTTTATGGCCCTCCTCCTGCAGCAGCCACTGGAGCTCCACTTGCTCCTGGATCCATCATCCATGGCCCACCTCCTCTGGGATCCCAGGTGGTTTGTGGCCCTCTGCCTCCAAACTTTACAGTGCCACTCATTCCCTTTGGAGTGCTCCACTGCAACGTGCCTGAACATCAGGATCTGGTAAGAACTAGAGCTGCAGCTGCAGCTGGAACCCTTGGGAACTGACTGACAAATGGGTTAGGAAAAGCTCTGTGCTAGGAAAGGTCTGGATGTGGTTACAGTCCTTGCCATCTGGAGCTGCTCCTGGGTGTCAGGAGGCCTCAGCTGGAAAATAGATCCTGATTGTGTTGTTCTGTTCCCTGTGTGCAGGAGAGTGAAATCTCAAGGCTGGAAGACACCGTGTGCTATTTAAAGTCTCAGAAATACAAAGACAAATGCTCAGAGGCAGCTGAGCATAAATACAAAAAGGAGGTGGAAAGATTGCATGGAAATGTTGAAGAACTTGAGCAGGAAAGAAAAGAGCTGGAATGTGAAGTGGCAGAGTTGCGCCAAGCGGCTCAGAAACAGAGCACACGCAGGTGAGAGCAGTGCATGGAATGCACTGAAAGGAAGCATCTGAAAATACCTAAACCTTTTCCCAGCAAAAGTCAGCTTTTTGACTCATGTACAATTTTAGAACTTTAAGAGGCCCCCAGATCTTTGGCATCTTTGTATTTTAATTCCATGTTTTTCATCCTGACCTTTTAGGGACTTTATTGACGGCTACACTGACAGCCTCCTTGCAGAGCTGCAGCTGGAGAAGTCCCTTCAGCAGCAGGAAGATGTTGCAGAGGAGATTGAATGTGCAGAGAAGACTCTCCTGAAACGTCGGGCCGAGCTCAGAGAGGCCGACAGGCTCCTCACAGAGGCTCAGGTGGAACTTGAGAGCACCCGGGGCAAGGTGAGTGAAGGCAAAACCCTGAGGGCAGAAGGATTTGAGTGTTGTTTTGTCTGTCCTGACAGCTTATTTTCACATGGGTAACCTGGAGCCTCTTAAAATGCTTTTGTATGAAAGTAAGATAGGCAATAAACTGTTCTAGAAGAGCTTGGTTTAGTCTTTGTTGAAGAGGAGGAAGGTATGCTGCTCTGGACAATAGAGGAGAAAAAGTTGTTCATGGTAGAAAGAGGGAGATGGCTGAGGTGGAATATTCAAGCCAGGAGCTCACCTTTAAACAGCAAATGCAGCATAAGGTGAAATGTATTGTCTCAATCTTCAATTTTTACTGTAGACTAAAGAGACTCTGCAGAAGTACAATCATGCCAAACACCGTTTATCTTGCACTGAAATGGAGGCAGAGGAGCTGGAGCAGAGGGCTCAGGAAACAGCCACCAAAATTGTGAAAGCATCTCAGCAGCTCAGGTACCCTGGATGCTCTTGTGGGTTTGTGTCACACAGGGTGAGGACAAAGACTGGGTTCTTTCCAGTATCAAGACACTGCTTTTGGGGGGGGAGAGCTGTTAAAATGTTAATATGAAAAGGCATAAATACTCTTCTAGGTTATTACAGACAGATACGAGGGGTTTGGAACGGCTTAAGAGGGAACAAGAAGGTATTTTGAAGAAAATCAACAAAATGGTGGCTGCAAGAGACTCTGAGTTGCAGTCATTAAACCAGAAGATAGAAATGCTCACTGAAAGGTACTTTTAATTTACCATGAACTGTATTAAGTTAAACATGTCCAGTGTGTCACTGCCTAAGATATTCTCACTTCTTCTGACCCCTGTTTCTATCCTCACTCTCAGTCTTCAGAAGCTCCAAGGAGATATTCAACTTGCAGAAGGTAACGAGGGCCAGCATCTCCAAATCATCAGAGAAGCAGAAAACCTTGTCCAGGGCAAGAAAACTGAATTGGAAACATTGAAAGATCAGGTGAGGCTTGCCTACTAACCCTGGGCTCTCCATTTTGTTGGACTTGACCTTTCATAATCACGATCCTAGGCTCCCTGATGCACTTTTTCATGTGGGTTTTTTTTTCATGTTTAGCTACAAAAACAAAAGCTTGCACTGATTCTTCTGTTAAATTTCTCCACTGTAGATTTCTGCTCAGCAGCAAGAGCTCTTGTTCCTGGAGCAGCAGGTGACTCAAAGAACAGAAGAGCTCCGTGGCATTCAGGACTGCATTTCCCAAAGGAAAGGTGATCTCAAAGAGGCTCTTCGGGATGGAGAGACTGAAGCACATGAAAAACTTCGCCAAATAAGGGTAAGTTTCCCAAATGAGTTTTCAAACCATTACAGCAAAAGACTTGAAGTACTACAAACATTCCAGGAGGTTTCCACAATACAGTTTTGCTTTTTGTGCCCTCCCCAAACCCACTGAGAAATAGAACATGGAATTTTATGGTTTTATGTGACTAAAACCTTGGTCCATCTGCACAGTGAAGAGCTCCCCAGTTCCAGTAATTCTTACAAAATTGGTCCCTTGAGAGCTGAATTATGTTAAATATATAAGTCTGTGAATGACTTCCTCTTGCTGAGGAGCAGCTGCTGGAGGAAATCAGTGTGATCAGTGTGTGTAAAACACAACACAGCTGCCCTGGTCTGTCCCCATCCCCATTTTCACAGAGAGGATTCTGTACTTCCCTGCTGAAATCAAAACTGAGTATCAGGACTAATTATAATATTTTGTGGTTTATTTTCTTTTGTGAGGGCTTCTTGTCTGGTTTTGTTTTAAGGCCCATTATTCACTTGAATGACAATGTTGTGGTAAGATTTGGAGATCAAAATCTTTGCAGAATTACTACTCTAAATCGTCAACAAGCAAGACCTTAACTTAAATATTCTGTATTCTTTGTTTGTTAAACCAGGATACTGGTGACAGCCTGTTAAATAATATTATAAACATTTAGAACTTCAGTTTAAGGGAGAAATTAATTTAAAATTGCAAAACATTCAATCCTTGTAATATATAATGTATCCTTGTAACACTGATACGTTCTCACAGGAAATAAAAGTACTTCTGGGAGAGCTTAGTATTGAGAGGAATGAACTGGATGACCAGATGAATGAGAAAAGAGCACAGCTTTTGGTCCTAAAGAAGGATATTAGAAAGGAGGAGGAAAATCTTCAAGGAATACTTGGGCAAATCAGCAAGCATAAGATGGGTATGTCCCGGGCTTTAGTGGATTTTGTGCAGGCTGGGAAGGAACACACAGAGCTCTTTAGTTCTCCTCATCCTAATCCAATAATTGCTCTTTATTTCACCTCACTAGAACTGAAACATGTGCTGGAAATGTTGGAGCTTGAGAAGAATGAACTGGAAGGTTTGAAACTACAACATGAGCAGAAGGTCAATGAGCTGGAAAAGACCCAGGTGGCTGTTCTAGAGGTAAGAAGTGCTTCTGTGGATGATGCGGAAACTGGGAGATCTGTGGTTCTCTTAAGCCTTGGGTAACAGAGTCCTGATGCTTTTAAATCAATCAGTTTCTAATCTGATTTCAGTTTATCACAGAAAAGTCTTAAGTCTGCTTAGGCCCTTTAAAATAATGGGATTTTTTAGTGTATGTGAGAGAGAGGGAGCACAGAAGTGCTTCAGTGGCTGCAGACTGATGGATGCTGGTTTTAGGAGCTTCCAGAGTCTTTTTATCTGGATCCTGTGTCCTCACTTCAAATGATGAGTCTGGAAGGGAGTTTAACTCAGCTGGGTGATCTCTAGCATTAAAAAGGTCCCCAAAGTACTTGGAACCATTCTATTGTCACCTTCCTCCTTGAAATTCACTCAAATCACTCTGGCTGCAGATAAGGATGGCAATACTTGTTCTGCTTCTGGACCATATAAATGTGGTGCTCACCATGCCTGTTTTTCCTAGGAGAAGCTAAAATTGGAGAATATTCAGAGATTATTTCAGTGTCGGCAAGGGGAAGTGGATTGGCAGGAGCAGCTCCTCAGGAAGGACCGTGAGGAGAACGAGCACCTGGGCTCTCAAATGAGAACTCTGCAAAACAACATCGAGGCTCTGAGCAGAGAGAAGGAGAAGCTGGAAGAGGACTCCAGGAGTTTGGAGAAGAAGTTGTCACAAACCAAAAAGTGAGGGAATTTCTGTTTTCCTGCAGAGATCAGAAGGGATGGGGAAGTGTTTGGATGTCCGTTGGCTGTAATTAAAAATACACAGCTCTGAGTTGCCCAATGATACAGAACAGGCATTTTTTTTATATTCTGTGGAGCTTTTGCTTTAATCCTCTCTACAGCAGATTTAAAAAATATTCAGCAATGGAGCTGATGAATCAGCAGCATTTATCCTGGCAATGCTATGAGAAATGTTACAAAAAGTAAAGCGTTGCATCTTGGAACAGGACATTTGTCTTGCTCTGACTGCTTGTGCCATCCCCTTGGGCTCAGAGGGTTTTCCTGACATTTTTTAAGGCCTCACCAAGGATTTCCAACTAACCAAGAATATGATTCACATTTTACAGAGACCTAACTGCAGCTGAAGACAGCAGCAGAACTGCACTGTCCAACATGGAAAAAGTGGGATTGGATGTTAAGAACCTGCAGCAGGAGGTGGAGCTGCTGAACAAGCAGAAGAAATCACTGAATTCGGAGATTGTTGCTGTCCAGGAGGACCTTCAAGGTAAAGAAAAGATCAATTTTTGGGTTTAAGTGGTGATACATTTTAGGAGAAATTCTGTTAAAAGACACACTTTAACTGAACCGTATGATATTAAACATTCAGCATGCCCAGATGTCCATAGGCAGAAAGAATTTAATATGTTGAAAAGATGGAAATTTCATCAACTGTGTTTGTGTTATTCACTCTTTACTCATGAAAAGAGAATTTCTGTGTATTGCTATTTTAAACTGCTGATGGAAAATGTCTTATCACCAAATACTTTCCTAGGGAAAAAAGAAGAACTGGAAATACTGAAAGGAGAACTGAATGACTCAAGGCAGCAGCTTCACCTTGTGGAACAGGTTTGTGTTAGTGAAACATGTCCTTATGGTCACTCTGAGAATCTGTTGTTGCTCCTGATCTGTTCATGTGGGCACAGCTCCACTCAGAGCCCTGCAGAGCTGAGAGCAGGGATTGCTTTATTGCCTTCTTCTTGCTGAGTGTGGAGTGGGTTTATTTTCTTAGGAAGAAGATAATTTAAAAACAACCAACCAAGCAGCACCTTCTGGCTTTTTATCTGGTGGCTCCTTCTGTGTTAATTCACTTAATTCTGGGCTTGAGTGGAAGGAGCCCTGAGGGTGCCAGTGACCAAACCTTTGAGGCTGGTTCCTCTTCCCAGCTCCTCCTGCCACGGTGCTTTTGTTTTCCATTGCAGGATTTGGAAAACAGCTCCAGGCAGCAGGAGGAGCTGCTCAGAGAGCAGGCAGCCCTGAAGGAAGAGATCCGAGAGTATGTAAGGAAGCGTAAGGAATTCCAGGAGAGGCACAAGAAGAGGGAGAACCAACTGCAGCAGCTCCAGAAAAAGATTGAAGACAAGGAAACAGAACTTGCCCAACAGGAAGTGGTAACGAGCCCCCTGACTTGCCTCACTTCCTCCTGACATTAAAAATAATTCAGGCCAAAAACATTTGAGGTGTGAGTTTACAAATAATCACAAAAGCACAGACTGGTTTGTCCAAATTAGCTCGGGTTGGGTGAGGAGTTTCAGCAAAGTGTTACCCAAAAGAAAACTGAGGGAGCTGTTCTGAAAATGAGAGAGGTAGGAAATATTGACAAACATTTTTAGTCAGCAGGGACTGTTAGACTGCAGGTCTTTCCAATTTATGCTGTTTTTACTTCTCTAATGTCTCTTAATGATGGTTTTTGTTCTCCCTGAGTTGCTGCTGGTTCAGGCTCAGAGGGGGGGGGTGTTTCTGGCAGGTTCTTCATTGCCTCAAGCAAAACTCAGAGCGTGAAGGGAAAAAACTGGAAGAATGTGCAGCTAAAGTGAAGGATCAGAAAATCCTGTTGGAAAAGGAACTAACAGATCAACACAAGAAACTGGAGCAGGCAATAGCTAAAGTCAGGCTGGCAGAAGAGAACCTTGGGAAGCTGGAAAAGGAGGAGTCCCGGTGTGCAGCTCTTGAAGAAACCATCAGAAAAAGCAGTAAGAGTCATTGCACAAATTAACTGCCACTATCTCTGGGGGCTGAGGATAATGGCACAACAAATATTTTTGTTCATCTTGCTTGGGTTCTTGGTGTTTGGAAAATATCTGCTGTGTATGAAGTGGGCCAAGATAAGCTTTTGCTAATCGGGATTTTTTTTTAAATGTTCATTACAGAACATCAGCTCTCAGAAAAAGAATTACAGTTACAACAAAAAGACAGAGAAATACAGTGTCTTCAGAAAGAACTCGAGCTCTCCAAGTCTGAGCTAAAGCAACTTCAAGGTCAGATAGTGTCAGAGAGGAGAGAAGCAGAAAAACAAATCCTGAGTTTGAGAGAAACAGAGAAAATGCAAAGGATGGAGCTTGAAAGCAAACTGCAAGTAAGTCCTCGCTGAGTGGAGAAAGTTTGGGGATTTGGGTTATTTTAAACAACAGAATGATGGAACACACATTTTTGTCATTGGAGGAACAAAGTAATGCAACAACTTCCTGAGCAGACTTGAGGCAACCAAGCTCTGGCATTCCCAGTGCTGCACAACACCCGAGTTACTGCTGTTTGTGCCTTGAAGGAATTGTGGGTTCTCTTAGCTCATGTACTGTAGTGGATGCTGCCAGTAAAAGGCATCTCCCTGCACTTCCCCAGGAGCAGAGGCATGGAGGGGGCAGCCTGCAGAGCACCAGGGCTGAGCAGCCGTGCCACTGCCACAGCCACTGCCCGCGAGCCGAGCACCTCGGAGGGGACCTGGGCCAGCCCCCACCCAGGGGGGAATGCAGCCACCCCCAGAGCCAGGTACAGCTGGGTGCCAGATCCCGGGGGGCTGAGGGTTTGTGGCTTCAGACAAGCTCATTTTGTATTGCTTTTGAATCTTCCTGCTGCGGTATCACAATTGAAAATACACCCAGAGTTGTAATTTATGCAAATCACTGAATGTTAGCGAAGTTCAGAGCTACTCAGCAGGTATTTAACAACTTGCCAGTGCCAGCATGGGCCAGCTTTTTCTTCTTTAGACACTCACTTCAAATTAAAAAGTGATTCACCTTGTCTGACTCCTTCTAGTCCTTCAATATACCCTTTATAAATTGTTTTGAAGCTCTTTATAAACAGAGAAGAATGCTGTTGGCAATTGGAAAGCATTTGGGAAAGCCCTGCAAGGTCAGAGTGTGGCAGGTTTAGGTTAAAAATTCCTGGTAACTGCAGTTGCCTGTTCCCATCTGAGGGGCTTTCCTGGCAGAGTTAACATTGGAACCAGGGCTGCAGCAGGTCAGAGGTTTTGGGATTTCTGACTGCAGTGCTCCATGTCCAGAACAGCTATGTTCAGTTACACAGGAAAAGCCCTCAGGACTGGTGTTTGTAACCCAACTGTTCTGTGCTGCAGGTTAAAACTCAGACTCAAGACCTGGAAGAGAGACAAAGGGAAATGGAGAGTGCAGCAACCTTGCTTAACCTGGAGGTTGAAAATGAAATTAGGACAGGGTTTGAATCTTCACACTCATCTTCTCCAGACCTGCTGGAAGCTTTGGAGGCATCATCTGAAGGAAATAGGAGTCTGCAGTATGAGTGTGATAGCTCAGAGACTGCTTCCTTTGCTGCTGCTGACAGACAGCTCCTCTCCTTGGACGAAAAGCTCAATGTCTCCAGAGTCTTCTTACTGGTAAAATGCTTTGGACAATTAGCTGTTCCTGGTTCTTTCTTGGTCTCTGGCTGAATGTGCTTTTTTTTTCCCCCAAAGGATGAGCAGTGGCGGGGAGAGGCGCTCCGGGAGAAGCTGCAGCAGCATGAGGACCGGCTCAAGGTGCCACATCTGTGCCCCTCACATCCCTTCAAAGCATGATCTAAACAACCTGGGGGAGGGGGGATCCTCCTCCAGCTCAGGCCATAATGACCAGAGAGAGGAGCTTTGGGTGGGAACAGTAAAAGCCTGGCTGTAGCAAGAGGAGTAATTTTATTTGGCAGTTAATTGGATGTTGGAGTATTCCAACAAGATTCTCTCATGTATATAATCCCATGGTATATCAGCACCATGACAGAGGAGTTCAGCACCACCCACAATCACCTTAGTCCAGGCTCAGTTAGAACACAGCCATCAAAACAGCTTATTTAAAAATAACTCCCAAACCCACTGCCTGTGGTGTGAGACTCAACCTTCCAGCCTTTAGGGCTGACTTTACAGAGCGTTGCCAGTGCCTGGTGTGACCCTCCCCGTGTGTTGCAGGCGCAGCTGCGGCGCTGCCTGGCCAAGCAGGCGGATGTGCTGCTGCAGGGCAAGCGGCAGACGGCCGGGAGCCTGCACAGCCTCCAGTGCCAGCTCCAGGTGCTGGATGACCTGGTCAGCAGCCCTGCTTCAGATTCCCTCTTCCTGCCCAGCAGCCCCAGCCTGGAATCTCTTCACAGTGCTCTGAATATAACAAAAGCTCAGGTAATGCTCTGCTGCAGAGCAGAATTCTGATTTAGGGGGTTTTAATGGTTCTTTTCTCGCTAGGAGTTGTTAACAGCCCTGTGCTGCCTCTCTCCAAGGCTGGGCAGGGCTTTCTGAAGGTGGTGATCACACCCTACCCCTGCTCTGGCAGTAGCTGATCTCTATGGAAAGGCTGAGCTCTCCTCACAGTGGTTTGGGGGGTTTTGCAGGTCCCCAGCAGCCCAGGAAGCACGTTGGGATCGGCAGTGCTGCATTCCAGCTCCCAAGGGATCTCTCGATGAAGGTGAGATGTGGCTTCAGGCCAGTTCCAACCTCCCAGAGACACGAGGCTGGAAGGCTGAGGGACAGTGGGGCAGCTGTGGCTTCACAGACCACTCTGTCCTTTCCCAGTGACAGCATTCCTGGGGCTGGTGTCAGTCCTGCTTTAGATTTGTGTGTTGTGCAGCAGAGTCTGGGTGAGAGCTGCTGGGAGCTCTCCTGGACATGGAGTTACTGCTGCAGAAATTGTTGCCATCCCTGGTCTTTCAGGAACTTTCCTGGTTGAACTGTTCAGCCCCATGGCTGAACCTCTGGGACAGCTGGTGCCACCCCAGCCTGGTACAAAAGTGTTCTTTTGTAAAGGTTTAAGGTACAAATGTTACTTGAAAAGTGGCTTCACTTGAAAAGCAAAGCCCAAAGCACATCCACAGCTTGGACAGGGGCCCTCAGGTGCCACCTCTGAAGAGTTCTGCTACCTCACTGGGTGAGCCTTGTCTGAAATGCCACCACTCACAAACAGCTGCTGCAAGGCCTGTACTGTGAAGGTTTTCTACAATTGACAACAGGTTTTTATATATAAGTTGGTTTGTTTTTTTAAAAAATATTTTAAATGTGTATTTAAACATGTCCAAACCAACCTCCTATTTAAGTGTTCAGCTAGTGGCAAGTTTCCACTTTAAAGAAACCTTGTTACAAGGCCTGATCTGTTGCCAAATGCAGTTTTAAATAACAATTATTTTAGATACTTCCTTAAAATAAATTTTTGTGGATTGATGCTTTTATCCGGGGGCAGTTGCAGATTCGTTTTGTTAAAAGGAGGATACTGAAGACACTGATACTGGCACAGCCCTGGACAGTGACAGTGCTCTGAGTGCTGGGGCTCCTCCTTACAGGAATGTGTCCAACACTGGCATTTCTGTCCTTGTCCCTCTTCCTGGCTGCTGGGTGAGCACCTCTGCCTCTCCCAGGGCTCAGCAGCATCACTTGTCTGAGCCAGGTGGATACAGACAATGGCTTAACAAAATAACAATCAACTTATTCCCTACTTAGTACAGGAAAAGCCACTTTGTAGATCCTTTAGCAGGATAAGGCACAGGCCAACACAGGCCAGTGGCTGTGCAGGGATTGTCCCAGCCCTCCCCACCCTTTCCCAGGGATGGGCTTTGGCCTCAGTCTTGCCCTTTCTTATCCTCATTAAAGATAGCATGTTTCTATGCAGTGTCACCCAGCCATTGTCAGAGTTGACTGGGAACAAACAGCACCCAGCCCTGCTTCCCTGAGAGCAGCTCTGGAAACCACTGGCAGTGAACCACTGGCATGAAGTTTATCCCAAGTAAGGCCCAGGATGAAGGCTGAGCACAAATCCCAGCACTCCAAGGAGCTCTCCCCCCCTCAGAAGTCCCACCCTCAGCACAGAGGGACAGAGCAAGTAACACACAGAAGGGAGATTTATCTAGATACAGGTACTTTATTTACAAATATTTAGATTAATAGCATTGTTACATCAAATGAGGAGTACAGCAGTCCAAACAGATCCTTTCTGTGACAGAAACAATAAGACCTACTGTAACTTACTCTGGGAGTACAGGTATTGCACCTCAACAAGCTGTAGTCATTACAACACTGACTTCACATCAGCAGCAGGTCGTGGTCCCTGGGCAAACCCTGGTGCAGCCTTGGGTTAAGCAGGATGCAGGAGCTGGAGATCTTGAACATACCCATCTACTGAGGAACAGGAGTTAAAAAAGGACTAACCAGACAAACAAAGGGACAGCACACGAGTTACCCAAATCCTACTGTCTGCACATTCCAGTTTTGGCTTTTATTTAACATTGACTGTACAATACTCTGGTACCACTGGTTACTTACAAGTCTCAACATTGTAGAGTTTTAGTGTCTAGAGTGGGATTTTCAGACTACTTTGTATTTGAAACGCTGCAGTAAGCCTGAAGTGTGACACTGGATTGTGGTTAAGCACTTACCCCCTTCCATTTTTAAACCTTGTGATGTTTCCCAAGTGAAGCTGCACAAGGAGCCACAGTAAAACCCCACATTAGTGCAGCAACACCCCCACGGGCAGGGTCACCACGTGACACCCCCTCACACACCAGAAGGATGTACTTGAAGGCTTGAAGCAAAACCCTTTAAAAAACCCCTCACACAGATCTGTTAAAAAATACAAGAGTAGTTAAAAATCCCTAGAGAGCACACGTTGTTCCAACTGTCCAGTTCAGCCTCTGCCCAGTCCCAAAGTTAAAGGTACAAAAGCGGGAGGTGTGCGAGAGCCCGGCCACGGCTGAAGCCCGAGAATGCCAAAGAGAAGCAGGTAGAGCACTGCTGAGTGCAGAGGGGAGCATTGCACAGTGCAGGATGAGAGCCACACCCCATTAGTGTTAATGTCTGTGTCCCCAGCACCGTGGGGATCCCACAAGTGACACCCAGCAGCTGCAGCCCCAGCTGGGCCGTGCTGCCACGGGGGCACCGAGAGCTCAGACTGTACAAACGGGGGGTTCTTACACACTGCTCTAATGCCAGGCATCATTTTCTTCATTAAAATCATATACACAGGATGTATTTAACTGTTAGCTCAGTTCCTTCAAATTTTATACATATTTACGTTCTGTTAACAAAGGTAAAGGATAAAAGTGGCAAAAAAAATGACGTAAAGCTATTGAGCACAAGAATGAACAGATCGCTTCCCTGCGCCACCCCGACCCCAGCACATCCCACAGGGAATTCTTCCAACAAAAGCACATCATTACAGAGCCCCTCGCTACCATCGGAAGTCATTTCACAGCAAAAACTTATCCTTTACTACTGACAGCTCGAACAGTTAGAGGTGGGGAAGAAAGGCCAAAGAACCATAAAATAAACCATACAAGACAAAGCCCTGCGAAAGTGTAAAATCAGGAGTCCAGCATCAGTGCTCAGTTTAAATTATGTATCGGTGACACTATCACAAGGACAATCAAGGAAAAAAAAACTTCTAGATTTACCATGCAGGAGAGGTTTTATTACTCTACTTGCCTTTGATAACCTGATTACATCTAAAGTTGTTTAGCAGTTTAGTACTGTGTTAAACTTGTCTCAGAGTTTTAATTAAACCCAGTAAGATGTACAGAAGATGGGGAAGCGGTCAAAAGCACCACTCCCTAGAGCCAGAGGTGAGGGGTCAGGAGGAGCCACGGAGGGGTCACTAGCAGCCACAGCCTTCTCTCTGGGGCTGGGGTTCGCTCGTTAGCCGCCCCCCCTGCGGGGCTGACGGTTTGTGCTGTACGCCCGACTCGGCCGCGTTCAGGTCCAGGCTTCCGTCTTGGATGTTCTGGTAGATTTTCTTGGCAGCCTCCAGGAACGCGTCCTCCACGTTCTCTCCACTGCAAGAGAGCAGCAGGAGTTACTGGGGCTGCAGTGCTGCTTCTGGAGGGAGCTGGGCAGGCACTGCCCCGTCCTCTTCAGCCCAACAGCCCCGGGACAGGGCAATTCCCTCTCTGGCCACTACACCCAGATCAGGACCAGCCTTATTCTGGGAATAAGGAATACGTGCCAAAGCACTGAGGAGCAAAAATAAGCCAAGGCATCGAGCCATGTGTACAGGATAGTTCTGACAGAGGCTTAAAGACAAGCGAGCACTATGGATCAAAGCCTGTTTTTGTTACAAAGTTCTGTTCTGACATGTGCCAGTGGGAGCCCCATTTCCTGGTGGCCCTGGAGATCTGTTCCCCAGTGACACAGCCAGCCCTAAGCATGGCACAGCAATTCTTCACTTACTGGAGGTGCTGGTCATTGCCCACAGACCAAACCTGCAGCTCTAAACACCCAGGGAAAGGAACCCTTTACACACTGAACACATTCCACACTCAAATAAGGCCTGAAATCCAAATCAGTTCATTTGAATTCAACCAGTCTTTGCCTGAAATGCAGCCAGAGGCCTCAGTTCCAAGTTACTTTCAAGTCACAGCAAACAGACCAATCTGAACATTACCACAGCCAAAAGTCACTTACGTTTTTGCACTTGCTTCAAGGAACAATAAACCTGTTCAGAGACAGAGGTTTAACAGTCAGTGCACAACACACCTCAAAGAGCCCAAAGTCAGACACATTACAACCTTCCCATTACATGCAAGACACTATTTTAGTACTAAACAAGCTTTTGTGACTATGTTAAGGCATCAACACAAGCCAATTTCTAGAACTACCCAGTTACCAGACTGCCTGAGGCACAGCAGGAGTTTGTACAGACAATTCCATGACTCTGGAAGTGTAAGCTTACAGCTATCAGCGCAGAGGATTCACACTAACATCACTATCTTGTAGGAAAGTACCAGCCCAAGAGAAAAAAAACGCACCATTTTCTTCAGCAAATTGTTTGGCTTCTTCATATGTAACATCCCTCTGTGCTTCCAGGTCTGCTTTGTTTCCTATGAGGATTATCACCTGGGTTAGGAGAGAAAAATAAGTTAGACTGGGAAAAAGCTCAGGGGCCTTTTCACTGCCACCTTCATTGTTAATGAGACTTTTTAAAAAACCAAAGGGAAATATGCAGAGCAGATTATCTACAGAAGCCATGCTCCTCCAGAACTGTGCCCTAACATTCCCTACTCTGGGAAAGCAGGAATAGCATCTCCAGCTGTCATTTTCCAAAGCTTTAAACTTTTAGAGGAAGGCCTTTTGCTCCAGCTGCAGTAGGGAAATGAATCACTGCACTCTGCAGGTGGGGGCAGGAGCAGTGCAGAAAACACAGGCAGCTCTTGCAGACACCACTGCAGTGCTTTGGCCTGAGCCTCCCACCACTCACTCAGGGAGAAACAATCTTGCTTTTAAGCTAAATGAAGTCCAACTTACAGTATTTGGATTGGTGAGGTTCCTTGCATCTGTCAGCCAGCTGCTTAAGTGATTATATGTACTTCTTCTGCAAAGAATCAAGAGAGGACACCTTTAGTCTTTTATAAAATATTTAGGTGCCAACAGCACAGTCAACATCCAAAAACAGCAACATCCATCATCCCTGTTGTTCTCCCCACATCA